CCTTAGAGGATCACACTTCCCTTAGAGGATCACACTTCCCTTAGAGGGGCCAAGAGTCCCAACTGAACGGCTATGGGTTTGACACAGTTTAGGGAGATATCAAGGACTCAGAAGAGGTCACATGGCCTTGGGACTGTTGATCAACATGGAGGAGCATGACAAGTCTGGGATTCCTCTAGGGGCCTGGGAGAATGCATAGAACAGTCCTTGGATGTCTGCATCATTGGGAAGTTAGTGTGATTTTTTTAAACTAAACCTATTTCCTGAGTTTGGGCAGGCCTCTGTGGACCTTTGGGGTTGTTTGAGGCAGCCCTGGACCTGTGGGGCTGAGTATGCTGTAATAATGTGTTTCAGTTTTCCAAGCATCTGGCTCAGTTCATCAGTGACCAGAACATCAAGGATCTGAAGGTCTGGACGAGCCAGATGAAGAGGACAATCCAGACAGCCGAGGCACTGAGTGTCCCTTATGAGCAGTGGAAGGTCCTCAATGAGATCGACGCGGTAATTACTGTCCCTCCCTCCCCCGTCTGCCTCCCGGGCACTGTCCTTCCCTGATCTGTGCTCAGTCTGGTCTGGAGAATAATGTAGGGTAGTCATGCTTTTGAGCTTTTAAAAAATGACTTATTTTGTGATGCTGGTTGCTCTTGTGGCGGTCAGAGGGCAACGTTTGGGAATTGGTTCTTTCTTCCCTCTGTGTGGGTCTCTGGCAGCAAGCACCTTTACCCACTGAGCCTCTCGCTGGTCCTACGCAACAGGATAAACAGTAAGTGGTAGGCAGATGAAAGAAGCTCAGTGCTCTGTCATCATCAAATGGGATGCCCAAGCTCCAGCTGTCAGCTGCACTTTCCTACAGAGCCCTGGGCAGAGCAAGTGTCTTCTCAGGTGAAGCTCCTTATGTAAAAGAATAGCAAGCCGGGCAGTGGTGGCGCACGCCTTTAATCTCAGCACTCAGGAGACAGAGGCAGGTGGATCTCTGAGTTCGAGGCCAGCCTGGTCTACAGAGTGAGTTCCAGGACAGCCAGGGCTACACAGAGAAACCCTGTCTGGATAAACAACACAAGAAAAATAGCAACAGGTAGGGATGACATCACCAGATTAAGCATTCGCGACACCTGTGAGAAACTGACTGGGAATGTTGAGCCAACAGCTAGAGTTGCCCATTGAGTTTTCTCTCTGTGAATGAACTTCCCACAGCCAGATGTTGGAATTTTCTTTCCCACTGTAGACATTTTTATACTATTATGGGGTCTGTTTAAATGCAACGTAACTCAAGTACCAGGTCAGTGCAGATGACAAAAATTTACTATAATTAAGCTGTTACTGATCGATCAGGGCTACAGAACAGACTCCAGTAAGCCAGAATGCCACAGAATTTTTTTTTTTTTTGCCACAGAATTTTTAAGCTTGCAACATCTGTGCCAAGTTATTGCCAACCAGGGTAGGAGTTGGTCCCTTGGTCTGGGAACATGAACTTAGGTTGACCCTGCCAGCAAGATGGAGACATTGTCCTTGGGAAGGCTGGACTCAGACAACTGTCTCCTTAAAACAGAAGCCGTACAGCTGTTAGGAAGTCCCCAGGTCCCCTAGGGCCTGGGACCCTGAACTCTGATTAGCTGGAGTCTGAAAATAAATCAGCAGGATTTAGAACAAGTTTCTCCTGCTTGTTCCCAGAAGTATCAATATCACAGGATTAACAACAGTGACTTGTCCTCTTGTGATGGTTAATTTAAGCCTGTCCAGAGTTCAGATCTCAGCTTGTAACTACATATAACTCTGGTTCCACAGAACTTGACACTCTCTTCTGCTCTCTTCAGGTACCCATACACACACACACACACACACACACACACACACATACACACACACACACACACACACTGAGGCCAGCCTGGTCTACATAGGTAGCCGGGGTTATGTAAAGAGACCTTGTCTCAAAAACACAACAAAAAAATTAACATGACTTAGAAATGGTTGACCTGGGCTGGAGAGATGGCTCAGTGGTTAAGAGCACCGACTGCACTTCCAGAGGTCCTGAGTTCAATTCCCAGCAACCACATGGTGGCTCACAACCATCTGTAATGAGATCTGATGCCCTCTTCTGGTGTGTCCGAAGACAGCTACAGTGTATTCATATACATAAAATAAATAAATCTTTAAAAAAAAAAAAAAAAGAAATGGTTGACCTTCAAGCTGTTCTCAAGGACACAGTGTTTTCACCCTGGGGCTTGTGTGCAGTTCTCTTCCCACCCTGTCACAGAGTCAAGGGCCAGGCCACCCACAGACTGTGGAGGACACTTGAAGACAGACTTGCTGAAAGGAGGGGGAGTGGGGTGACCTCAAGCAGCACATGACAGTTACCAGTCTGTGTTACGGTTTCTCACTGTTCCTTAGCCCTCACGCTCTCCTATCTTGCATTTAAACTATCTAGGCTGTTCTTTTCTTCTCTCTCCCTATTTTTTTGACAGTACTGAAGACCAGACTTCATACTTGTCAGGCAAGCTCACTGCCAGCTGTGCTGTATCCCTGGTCCCACAGGTACACTCTATGCTGTGTCCCTAGTCCAACAGGACGTTCTCTGCCAGCTGTGCTGTGTCCCTGGTCCCACAGGACACTCTCTGCCAGCTGTGCTGTGTCCCTGGTCCCACAGGACACTCTGCCAGCTGTGCTGTGTCCCTGGTCCCATAGGTCCACTCTCTGCCAGCTGTGCTGTGTCCCTGGTCCCACAGGACACTCTCTGCCAGCTGTGCTGTGTCCCTGGTTCCATAGGTCCACTCTCTGGACCATCAAAATTATATTTGATACTATGACAAAGCTTTCAATATCTGATCACCATCCATCGGCTAGTTAACATAAACATCTGTCCATATTTTTCCTGTGGATCTGTTTTCTTTTTATATTACATTCATATATGACATGTGTATCTGTTTACATACCAGTATCATGTTAATTTAGTTATAGAAGTTTTCACTCTGTTTATTAGTCATTGGATCTGTCTGTCTATTGATCAGTCATTTTCTTATGTTTGTTTTGGGAGCATAGCTCTTACTCTGTGACCCAGACTAGCTTGGAACTCATTGCACATGGCTCCACTGCCCTTGGATCGTGGAGCGCTTCCTGTCTCAGCCTCCTGAGTGCCAGGATTGCAGGCATGGACTACCACTCAGCTCTTTTCCTTCTTCCTATCTTACTTGTGGTCTTTTGCTTTGTGTCCCCTCAAATTGGATTATCGCCTTTCTATTGCTGATGTATGTATAGGAAGCATTATTCTAGATCCAATGCGGACCTGGTAACTTTTCAGCAAGAGTCAGACATGTTAGAGAACTGTTTTTGCTTTTGTTGGGTAGCTAATGATGGGTAACCTTTGGCTAGTTGTGGACTGACTGTCTACTAGGTTGTTGATTGAAGCGCTCTGGTTTTCAGTGCCAGAAGCAGAAGTCTTTAATGGATGTGAACCTCAGAATAATCAATCACCCTATGCCAGGTTGAACGATGTTGTTGGGTGATGTAGGGATGGGCTGTAGGAGAGAAACAGGCATTCACAGTGAGATCATGAAAGCCGGAACCTGGCCAGTGCCGGGAGGAGAGGAAGGGGTAGGGGATTTGTCCATTTCACTATTTATCCATCCTTTGCCAGGACCTAGGACTAGGTCCTGAGGGCCAGGATCCTGGTGGAGAGCCATGGAGACAAAAGGTTGGTGGCATTCAGGATAGCGCCAGGTTTCCAGTCACTGGGCGGGGCTCTGGTAGAGGAGATGAGTCACCTGAGGACTGGAACTGTGCCTGTCTTGTGTCACCTGAGTACGGGAACTGTGTCCACCTTGTTCGCCACATGGTAGCTGCTCAGGAAACGTGCTGAGTAAGAGGGAAAATTCCTGGTGGGTGTTCAGCAGTGGAGGCCCAGGTATAGTCTGATCTCTAAGGAGAAGGCAGAGCTTGGGCAGCCCGCACAGGTGAGGTTCTGGAGCCTGCCAAATGGGTTCAGGGAAGCAGGGACAAGGTCCAAACCCTGGGGAGCCCCAGCGTTGAAGGGTTCTGTAGGCAGCTTTAGATGTCCTTCTGCTAAGGTGGAAGAGAAACCTGGAAGTTCTGGCACAGAAGGAGGCTGTAGTCAAAGGGGCACATTGGTTTCAGGGTGGGGACTAAAGCCAGACCCCAAATTGACCATTGGAATGTCACCAAGGTGTCACCGGAGTTCTTGGCACGAGCCTGGCGGTGCCCAGCTGTACCTCACCAGCGCCGGGAACCTATATAGCTTTCAGTCTATCTCTAGAAGTTTCTAAGGCCCCAGTCTTTGTAATGAGGATGACCTGGTCCTAATTCCCAACCTTTGCCCTGTGTTTCTTGTGTCTACATCTGCTCTGGCAGGACACAGGATGGGCAGAAGGGTGTCCTTCTTTTGTTAATTGACAGGCCCTTATCTCTCAGGCTTCTGTCCTCCAGGATGGTGATAGCACTGGGCTGATCCCATCCCTGGCTTGTTTCTAAAGGTTATTATACAGAATCTCATTTATGTATGACAGTAAAGAATATTATGCCAGGTGGTGGTATATGCCCTTAATCTTAGCACTCTGGGGACAGAGGCAGGTGGATCCAGTAAGTTCTAAGCTAGCCTGGGCTACATAGTGAGACCCCCTGTGGGTCTCACTATGTAAAAAATAAAAGTGGGGGTTGGAGAGAGGGCTCAGCAGTCAGGAGCACTGGCTGTTCTTCCAGAGGACCTGGGTTCAATTCCCAGCACTCTTTGGCAGCTCACACGTGTCTGTACCTCCAGTTCCAGGGTATCTGACATGCTCATATAGACATACACATAGGCAAAGCATTGATGCACATTAAATAAATGTGGTGGCACATACCTTTAATCCAAGCACCCAGGAGGCAGAGGCATATGGGTCTTTGTGAGGACACGGACAAACTGCTCTGCATAGCAAGTTCTAGGCCAGCTAAAGCTACAGTATGAGACCCTATCTGAAAAATTAATTAATTAAAACTAAAAGGAGAGAAAGTGGGGGTCATTAACTATCTAGTCCATGTTCACAGTGTACTAATTGTCTTATAAGTCTTTTCATAGTTATTTTGTTTAAATCAGAATAAAACCAGAGCAGTGGTGGTGCACGCCTTTAATCTCAGCACTTGGGAGGCAGAGGCAGGCGGATTTCTGAGTTCGAAGCCAGCCTGGTCTATAAAGTGAGCTCCAGGACAGCCAAGGCTATACAGAGAAACCCTGTCTCAAAAACAAAAACAAAAACAGAATAAAACCAGGGATTCTGTTCTTTGCAGCAGCTTGAGTGAGCCTGGAGGACAGTAAGTTCAGTGAGATAGGTGGGTGGGCACAGAAAGACAAACGGTGCTGGGCCTCACTGCTGTGGGAAAGAGAGGGACTGAGAGCACCAGAGACTGGGGATGGGGTGTCCTAAATCTGGACAGGCAGGGTGCAGACGCCTGAATTTTCTGATACTAGAATAGGAATTTGGTGGATTTTCCATCTTTTCTGAGATTACAGC